CCATCCCCCCGCCACCCCCAGGCTGCCGGTGTCAGCTCGGGATGAAGCCTCACCTGCCAGCCTCACTCCCCAGATGGTTCCCAGCCAGAGACGGCGCTGCTGCCCCTGGGGGTTATGCAGTAGGGATGGATATGGGTCTCGCTCAGTCCCTGCCCGCCTGGCCACCACCTGAGCCAGGAGTAAGGGGCAGGAGCCCAAGTAGTTTCCCGACCCGGCCTCTGTGCATGGCCTGCACCTTCACCCTTCCCTGGCTGAAACCACAAAGAGGAAATAGGAAGCTGGCCAGGGTGGGAGTCACCTCCTAGCCCTGTTCTATCTGCTTCCTGCAAAGGGAGAATGCTGTTGAGGGAGGCAAGGGATAGAGAGATGGCTGCTGGTGGCAGTGCCTGTTGCCACCCTGAGTGTCTCTTAGGAGCCCCTCCAGTTGGAAGACCCAGGTTCCCAAGGGCATAGGATGGCCACTGCCTAGAGAACACAACCAAGGAGGATGGATTTAAGTAGCAGCAGGAAACACTTAGATGGTAGAAAAATTGTGGACACCACCACCCCACCCCTCGTGCCCGTGGCAGACATTGCTAATCAATCAGGAGGCTTCTTAACAGAACGCTTTACTCAGTCGCTACCAATCCACCTGAGTCTGCACATTGGAGCTGACACCTGCGGGCCACGCCTGCTGTAGATTTCAGAGAACTTCTTAATGGGAACTGTGAAGCTGAAACAGAAGGCGGAGGGAGGTAGGGAGGCCTCTTTCTCCAGAGGAATACAGGGAAGTACATGATGTCCAGCTGCCACCCTGGCTGAAGGTGATCCTTGCTGAAATCCTAGCTAGCACTTACTACCTGTTAGGCACTGTTGTGTTTGCATACAAGCATGGACTGTGGAGCCAGCCTGCCTGCATCCGAATCCTGGCTCTGCCACTTCTAGCTATGTCAGCTTGGGCAAGGTGCTTTACCTCTCTGGGCCTCGGTTTCCTCATCTGTAAAATGGGGTTAGTAATAGTGTCTGCCTCTTCCAGGAGTTGTGAGGAATATATATGTAATGGTATGTGTGTATGCGTGTGTATATATATGTATGTGTATATATATATATATACACACACACACACACACACACACAGTGTGTGTTAGAATATATTTCCAGTTAGAATATATTAACTCATTTAAATCCTAGAGGATCCACAAAGATTCTGGTAAGCCTTTCATTTTAAAGAGGAAATGATTATTCTGTGGTTTTTATTAATTTGTTTATTTCATCTATTTCTACCCACCTTATTCTAAAAAAAACATTTTGGGGTGATTTATAAACGAGATATGGAAACGATGGAGGAGGGTGGAGAGCCGAGGCAGAAGGATCCAGAGCTAATGACATGACAACCTCTTATGCAAGATGAGCCACTGACTGGGCTCCAAGCTTCCTGGTGGCCAGAGCAAAGAGGAAAGCAGAGTTGTTCAAGTCAGGCTGCAGGAAGGTAGGAGCACCCCTGGCGCTTGACTGAAACACAGCTCTTCCTGGTACTGAGACCCAAAGGAAGTCCCTCCCGTGTGCAGATGAGGTAGGATGAGTATGTGGTGGGTACACAGGAGTGGTAGTAATCTGTCCCTTCTGTCCCTATTTGGGGTAGACCCACTGTGTGGGGTTGGAAACCCTCAGCAGACCTGTTCCCTTCCCTGGGATGTGAAGGAGGTGGCCGCCCCATGTCTTGCCCACTCCCTGGTGGCATCAGGACCAAGCAACATAGAAGTGACAGGAAGAGGGTACTGGCTCAGTGTGAAAACTCTGGATTAAGGAGGCTATTTGGTGCCTGAGCTGTCTTTGTGGGGGCCTGGGAAAGGAGGCTGAGTTCCCAGGTTCTGAGCATCCGCCCTCAGGTTCCTTGGTCCACAAATAGGAATGAAGGACTGACCATGAGCTCAGCACTCCGCAAGGCACTGGAAACATTCATGAACAGAACAGAAAAATCCCTGACCCCGGGAGCTTACCTTTTAGTGCCATGGGGGCAAAATCAAGCGGAGTGAAGAGATGGGGACACGTCCTGTTCCCATGAGAACCATTACCCAGCATTCCCCAAGGACTCCCTGACCTTGATTCTCTGTGGGTGAGTCACTGCACCACTGCCTCCGGGGTGTCCTCAGGAACAAGGCCCAGAGGGGGGATGACTTATTCCTGGTGCTGCCCGGGTTTGCCTGAGCAGCCCTGCAGCAGATGGGCTTGTGTTCCAGTGAGCACCCCGGGACCCTGGTCCTGCCTTGGCTTCACAGGAAGAGCAGGACGTCTGGAAGGAGAGAAAACACATCTGTAGCAACGTCTCTGCAGGGAGAAACCGAGGCCCGCTCCACACACCTCCTGCCAGTGCTCTTTTCCAATAACTCTAATAGGTAGCATTTATTTAGCACTTGCTGTATGCCAGCCCCTGTGCTTCGCATACATTATCTCCTGTGATCCTAAGAGATAGCTGTCATTGTTCTCCCATTTACAAGATGAGGAAACTGAGATACAGGGAGGCCAAGCAGCTCATTAAGGTGCCAACTCGGGAGTGACAGAGCCGGGATTTGAGCACAGGCAGGCTGACTCCAGAGCCCGTGCTTATAACTAAATCCTTCCTACTGTCTCTGTCACCACCTCTCCTGGACCCCGTGCCCCAGCCCTGCCAGCGCTGCATCTCAGCTCCAGAAGCTCTTTCCAGGTGTTTCCTGCCCTTTACGAGGTGCTCCATGATGCCCCCAAGGCACCATTTGAGCTGTTTCTCAGCCACCCTCTTGTAGCAGATCCATCTGGAAGCTGAGCGCCAGAACTAGAAAGACATGATTTTCTTAGGATTTGCTTGGTTTCGGAGCCACCCGCTCTGCATGTTGCTCGGATGGTAATTATTAGCCCTGATACACATTTTGTTGAAGGTCTTCCTCTTTCCAGTGGGATTTCCTATCCATTACATGGAGCCTTTAGTCTGTGCCCCGGATTGTGCTAGGCAGGAGTAGGAGGGTAATGGGGACAGGGCTGAAAGACCATGCTGTGGTCAGTGAAGACGGGCTCCTGGAGCCACACAGGGCCGGAAAAGAGTGGTAGAATATCGCACTGACTGAGACAGAAAGACTCAAAGAGAGGAGGTGTCGGTGAGACCCACAGCCCTGATGATCCTTGAGTCATGAGGGGCAGAGACATGAGAGGGAACATTCTTGTCTTTCTTTTCCTTGCATCTTCCCTGGGCCTGACATGGAGGAGACCCGAACTAACTGCTTTTCTAAATGAATGAATGAATGAATGCTAAAACTGAAAGGAAGCTTAGTGATCAAGGTCCTGCTTTCAGTTTGTTCATACAATAACAGAGGCTTCTAGAGCACAGTGGCTTCAGGCCACGCGGCTGGTTGGGCAGAGTGTGGGACGCTCGGGTATTAACACCGTGACCTTCGTAAACCTCACGCTTTCCCTCTTTATTTCAGGGTCCCGCTGGAAGACCCGGCCTCCCAGTAAGTAGCTTTCATTTCATCCTTCCTTTCTATCTCCCTCGGCTGCTCTCCTCGCGCCAAGGGCTGGCTAGGTTGGGTGGCTGCTTTCCTTCAGGTGTGTCTGGGTGCGAGGCCTCTCTCCAGCACCTCTAACCTACAGCTGAGGGTGAAGCTCCTGGGGAGCCCTCCTGGGGCCCCAGGCAGGCAGATGACAGCATGCAGGCCCTTCCAAGGCTGGACCTGACCTCTAGACTGAAGGCCCTCTAATGGGGGTCTGGAAGGGTGGCAGCCTGACTGACTATCCTCTTGCATACCAGCTTAGCTTAAGACCACTGTCCCTCCTTTGTCCTGTGACCTCCGGTAAAAGGAGACGCAAAAACTTTGTTTTCCCCCCCAGTTACCATTTCTGAATGCCGGAGAGGCTGAGCCAAGTAACCATGGGGACTTTGGATTAAAAGTAGAAGTAATACCACTAGCCATCTCTTATTGAGACCCTACTACAGGCCAGGCACTATGCTCATCACTCTTCATATATTTGATTTGTTCGACAACTCAGTGAAATGGCTGTTATCATACCCATTTTATAGATGAGGAAACTGAGACTCAAGAGAGGCAAAATACCTTGTCCAATTGTCCAAGCTTCAGTGGAGACCTGTGGGGGCCATGTTGTCACACACATTTCATACCTCTGTTTCCTGTGGTCCATGCTTGACATTTGAGAACAGTCTGTAAAGTCTTCAGAGACATGGCTCTGTGGGATGTAGCCTGGGGCATAGATGCATTGAGTGCTAGATGACGGAGGGCCCAGGAATAGCCGGAGAGTCGGGTGAGATGTGGTAGCCAACTAGAGGGCCAAGGTGGGGTGTGGAGGGCGAGCCGGGGCTGGCCCCGGGCTGCCCTCCCTGCACCGAGGACCACATCCATTGGATTCCAGACCCTTCTGTGCATCCCGGTTACTCTTCTTTTAGACATGAATTACACTGTAACGTCTTGACTAATCTAGCAGCTTCTAGAATTCAAGCCCAGCAGTGACTTTCTTAATGAAATGCATGTGGGAGGGTGTTTAGCCTTGAAACTGGAAACTCTCCCAGTAAGTACCGAGCCCCAGAGCAAAGGAGGATGGGTGAATTAGTCCCATGAAATCCAAGGAGGGGAAAAATCAGATGACTGGGGAGAACGTGGGCAGACTTTGTTTTTTTCTGACAACGTCCACCTTTAAAAAGCATTTGGGGGCAATTCACAGAGCAGGGGCTGCTACACAGAGTTCCTAGTCTCTGGCCCTTCCATGCCTGTCCCTAACCCGAGCATTTTATGGCCAGGACTGCAAAGAACATTAGTTTTAAAAAAGAAACGAAGAGAAACCAAAATACACAGCCTGCAATATCATTCAGAAGCCCAGGAGTGAGCGGGCCATGGGGGTGTCTCAGCCCGCGTGCGGCAGGCCTGGTGTCCTCAGCAGGAAGGGCGGACCGCTGGCCCCCAGGTCCTCGCCCCCCTCGTGCTTCCACGTGGGGGAACCTGGGAGGGACCCGCAAAAAGAATTGCTGCGGCCAGCCCCTTGTGAAATGCAAAACTCTGAAGCACAAACATGCTGTACAATTCACTTGCCCACAGCCGTGCTGGGCTCCCTACCTGTAGACCCCGAATACGCGACACGCTCCAGGTGCCAAGCGCTGGGAGGAGGCTTTCCCGGGGCATCATTTACTGCATCCTCCCAGCAGCCCCTTGAGAGAGACACGGGTGCTGAGGGAGGCACGGAAACAGATCCAGGCTTATCACCCATGCTGCTAACCCGCCACTCTTTTGCAAAGGGTGAGCCGTTTCCTAGAGACACCACTGACCCGTGTGTGTAAGAAGACCCTAATTGCAGAGCACTTGCTGTCCTCGGGTGCATCCACATACATCTTGAGATGCTAATTGTCCCTCAAGGCTTGTTGCCTCAGTGGGGTCAGCAGACACAGAATTGCCCCAGAAGTGCCCACACCCTTCAGGGGAACCCACAAACCCAGCTCTCTCCTGCCCAGGAAGCCAGGACAAACACTGTCTGATTTTTGGCCCCCATCGCTTTCCGTCCTTCTAGACTCCTAGTGTACCCCAGGCCCCACCCCAGATTTTATGATGTCTGCACACGTATTATTGCAAAAAAATATTTTCTACCAAAAAGGAGAGGAACAAAACTTACTAAGCAGATTTCCAGAGTAAGAAGATGTAACTCCTGGCTACGAAACAAAGGGGATCCTTCTGAGCGGCTGAAACTCGTAATGCGGCCGTATCTACGTGGCTCACTGTCCTTCCTGTTGGTGCCGGGGGTGGCCGAGAGGAGGGCAGGGAGAGGACTCTGTCGTAGCCTTCTCGGATGGAGAGCCTGGGGAGGAGTCGGGGGACGTGGGCACTGCGCCTCAGCTCTGGCACAGATAGACCATTCACCTGGCACATGGGGCCACCACTCTCCGGGCTCTGTGCCTTGGAGTTGAGCGGGACGAAGATATGGCACATCCTGGGTGAAGCCGAAGCTAGACTGTGACAGCAGAAGTCTAAGAGGGGAAGGGCCTTGGACCCTTCGTCAAACGCATAGGGAAGCTGAGGCTCAGGCTGGGGACCAGGCTCCTAGGTTAGTGCACTTTCCACAGCACCGCGCTGAGAGCAGATCGTGGTAGGGGTGGCTGCTTGCCTAACAGTCCTTGGGGGCTGAGTGGGCATCATCCCAACCGCCCATGCAAAGCAGGTCTTGGGTGCATAGCTAGCCCATGGGGTCCTTCCTACGCTGGCCTGGCTCCAGCCACATCTAATTGTTTCTGCCTCCTTCATCAGGGGGACAAAGGTGCCATTGGGATGCCTGGACGTGTGGTGAGTTGGCGCATTTGTACTTGCTTGGGTGGCCGTTGCTTGCTTCTTCGTGCCGCCCTGTCCTCGAAACCATGGCAACCTCCCCAGCCCCAAGGAGGGGGTCAGACCTCTCTCTTCCTCCACCCAAGTCGGCTTCAGAGAGGGACTAGAGAGAAGAAAGGAGGAAGTTTTATTCCAATCCTTCAGATCTTGCAGTAGGACTCTACTCTCCATACAGCTGCCATGGCAAAGGAAAAATCCAAGAAATGGCACTGATAAAGCTCTTTGTCGATCCCCCACCGAGGGACAGGATGAGGCCCAAGCCCCTCGTGACATCAGGAGGACTCCCACCCACTCCACCGCGCCCCCCCCCCCACCGCCCAAGGCTAGCAGCTCTTCTTCAGACTTCCAACTGCTTTGCCACCACTCCCCAGCAAGAGCAGCAACAGATGGTGACAAATGCAGCCTCAAGATGCCCATGGAAGCTGCAGCGGAGCCGGCTTCCAGAGGCGCCTTCCCTAGGCAGAGACTAGAAGCTGGTGGGGGACAGGGCTGGTTCCCAGGCAGGGCCTCCAAATCCTCACCATGAGGCTAGGAGTTAGACACTGAATGTTTCCTGCTGAAAACTCAGGATGAAGAAAGGGAAACAGGAATGTTCCGCAGGGAGGGGATAGCTCAGAAATGGGAGGGCCAGCACTAGATCTTGGGGTCCCAGAGCCAGGCTGGTCCCGGGTGCCTGCTAGCCTCCAAGGGGCTAGAAAGGGCAGCTCAGGTACTGGGGGCAGCCCAAGGGGCTGATGGCCACACGCCGGCCTCACCAGCACCAAGTGAGTCTAGGACATGCCCAAGCTACTCTCCCCGTCTACCCCCGACTCCCCTACAGCTATCAGCCTCGACCTCCCTCTGGCTCCCCAGGGCCCCCCAACTCCCCCACGCCATCCTTCTATGCCACTCACATGCCTTGCCTCTTGACCTCACCTCCTCACGGGTTGGCCTCAGGCCTGGGTATGGCATTCTTGCGGGAGCTTGCTTGCCTGGTGTGAGCCTGGTGCTCAGAGAGAAGGCCTCCAAATCACAGTTAACACCCGAGAGCGCTCACTCTGCGCTGGGCATTGTGCTGAGAGCCTCACTCACATTAGCTCATTGGGTCCCAAGAGCTGCCGGAGGGAGGCACAATTTCCACCCATTGCTCAGGTGAGAAAACCGAGGCTCAGATGTTAAGTGTCTTTCCCGAGGTCCTGCCTGACCCTGTCCCTCTGCCTTAGTTCTCTCACTCCAAACCCTGAGTCCCCCAGGCTGTCACTGGTCCTTTTGTGTGTGCAGCAGGGAGAATAGAGCCAGCCAGCCTTTCTCAGGGGCTCGCCGTGCGTGGGCCTGAAGCAGGCACGTTCTCCATCAGAGCTTTCCAGGGACCCGTCCTATTGATGAGCTTGTTGAGACTCAGTTTGCCTGGGATTGGGGGGTGGAGCTGGGGCTTGCACCCAAGCTGACTGTCAGACGCCGAGATCCTGGCTCCTAACAGGTGGGCGTCAGGACTCTATACCCTGAGTGCCGCTGCCTGCCCTCCCCCTCCTGCCCTCCTTCTTGGGCCCTTGTGGACGTGTGCGCCCAAGAAGTGTCCATCTGAGCCGAGTTCTGACCCTCAGCGGTGGGGGCAGGAGGGAAGGCCACAGGAAGCCCCCTATTTCTGTTTTCCAGCCACTTGGGGGTTTTCATGCTGCTTGTGCTATTTTCAATGTGACAATGGACCCATTTGGCTGCCCAGTAGGAGTCCTGGCCCCAGCCACCTGATAAGGACGAGGGTGGCCAGGGAGTGTGAAATGCCTGAGTTGCCCCTGTGGTTCTCACCGGAGCTGGTACCCCTGGCTTCAGTGGATTAGGGTAGATCGGAGCTGTCTCTCTGCGCATTGCTGTGGTTACAGGGGCCCTTGGTGACTGCCCAGTTTCCTCTGCATCCCAGACCCATCCTCCATCCCCCAGATGTCTGTCCTACTGTCTGTCCTCCCGTATTCCTCTAGTCCCTCTCCCGACCTCTTGCCTGACCAGGCCTGACGGCTCCCAGCGTGTGTAGCTTGGCAAAACTTTGTGCTTGGTGCTCAGTTGGACCTTCAAACCAACTAAACTCCACTTCACAACACAGTCCTTGGACAAGTCTCCCTCATGCTCCCTCCCCACCAACCACCACCACCTCAGGTGACCCAGTGAGCTGGGGACATGGCTTCTCATGGCTTCTCAGGCAGATTTTCTGACCTGGATGGGTTTCTCTCTCTCTCTCTCTCACACACACACACACATCTTGCCTCTGTTTCTCTCGGTTATCTAGAATGGCTGACTGGGGCCGGGCCCCGGGGGTAAATCTGTAGCCAACCCTGCACTGTGCTTGTTGGAGGAGGGACACCTGTCATGTGTCAACATCTATGTTTTGTTTTGTTTCTTACTTCACAGCGATTTCTTTTGTTTGGTCATTGTGCCTTTAACACAGATTCTCACGTGTGTGCCTCTCTCTTATCCTTTCTTTTTTCTCTCCCCCTCTCTCCTCCCCACCCTGTGTTGCATGTGGCTGCCCAGGGAGTAAAGGGCCAACCAGGCGAGAAGGTGAGTCCTCACTTTGCCCTCCACCTTTCTGCCCCAGTCTCTTCCCCTTGGATTCTCGGGGTGCTTCCAGAGGCCCCCATCTCAGCCCTCCCCCCAGCACACAGGCCCCAGCATTCTGCCTTCGCAGGCTCTCCAGGCCCAGTGTCCAGGCCCCTGACTCCTGGCTAAGGGCCCAGCCTCCCTGCTGCATGGGTCTCCCCACACACCCAGGCTGCCTGTGGCCTCGCCGTCCCCCTTCCCCGAGCCGAGGGGAGCACCATCGCTGTTTGGGGCAGCTGGTTCTAGTCCCTCCCCAGCCTACTGCTGATGCCCTCAGACATAGAAGTTCTCTTCGTGCTGCCCCAGAGAGACTCCCAGGGGCCTAGAGTGAAGCCCCCTCGGAAGCCAGAAGCCCAAGAGACCATCCTGGAGCATTAGCCCTGGTGGATCCTGAGGGATCAGAGAGCAACACATCTAACCAGTTCCCTTTACAGAGAAGGAAACTGAGGCCCAGAGCGGGGGTGTGGCTTGCTGAAGATCCCACGCCAATAATGACGAGCGGGGGTGAGAAGCCAGACCTCCCGATGCCCAGCTTAGTACTTCCTTGCCTGTACATGGCAGTGCGTGTTTCTCGAGTCTCTCCGTCTCCAAAATAATGACATTGGCAGCAGAACACTCGCAGCTGCAATGTACTAAGCACAAACCGCCAGGTTCCGCGGTGTTTGGCCTCTGTTCTCCCAACTAACACTGACATAGCCCTTCCAGGGAGGCTTCAATATTCTTATTTACATGAGAGCACAGAGAGGCAGCTTCACAGACCCAAGGTCACACAGCAGCAAGTGACAGAGCTGGAGAGGAGCCCCACCCTCACGGCGTCCCCTCCTAGAGCTCCACGCTGCCCAGGAGAAAGATGAAGGACACGATCGGTGCCTAAGGACAATTGCAAACACTTGCTAGCCCCTTCATGCACCGGGCATTCTTTTCAGCACTTTACAACATTATCTCATGAAATTTTCACACCCATCCTATGAGATAGGTAAGGAAACTGAGGCAGAAGGAAGTTAGGTGGCCCAAGGTGACACAGCTGGGAAGGAGCAGAGCTGGGCTTCAAACCCAAGGGCTCTGGCTGGCTCCTAGCCATTGCACTCCCCTGCCTCGTGTGGTGATTACCGCTGCCGTGGTGTAAACAGTTACAAATCTGAGATCACTGCTCACCTGGGCGTGAGGCATGCAGTCACAAATACATTTAGGGCCTTTGCTTGGAAGGGTAGCCGAGCAGCCCTCAGCACCCAGTTCACAGAGGATGGATGTGGGCTGGGAGAGGTTCTGTGACTTGCCTGGCAGAGCAAGACCTGGGAGGGAGGCCTGGGAGCCCCCCTGGTGGGAAGCAGCAGTCAGCCCTCCGCACATCAGGGCACGGTCTAGATCCTTCTGCCAGGGCATCATCTCTGACCCCCATCTGTGTCCCTGACACCTTCATCTTTCTGTCGCCCTCCCTGCCCCCAGCACCCACACGCGTGTGCGCACGCACACACACACACACACACACACACACGGGTGTAGATATCTGGGCAGCCCGGCCACCCTTGGATGGCACTTGGAGCTCCCAGCTCAGCAGCAGCCGCCATCCTCTCAGGACTGAGAATTCTGGCCCGACTTCACCCCTCTGTGTCACTCTCACATCAGGCCTAGGAGGTCCGAGGCAGCCCCGCCTGCAGGCTCAGGACCGTGGGGCCCACACAGCGAGCATGGGTCTTGTCCCCACCCCTGTTCCGAGCAACTCCATCCACGGAGCAGCTGGGCTCACCTGCTGCGGGGGCGTGCGCCACATGGGCATCTGGGGGGCTGGGGCGGGGACGAAGGCCTCAGGGGCTCTGAGGCTAGGGTGGGGCTGGGGCAGATTGGAGGGCACCGAGCAGGGCCTAGAGGAGGCCTCTGCGGCCTGAGCGGCGTGGCTGTGTGCCTTCCCCTCCCTGAGCTGCCCTTGCTTATCCCTGCGCTGAATCCCTTCTTCCCTCTTCTGCCTGGGGTCCCACTCCCCTCTGTCCCTGGTCCCACATCTTATGCTACCGCTCACCTCTCTTCCCTCTTCCTTCCTCTGGCCTCCCGCTGCCCTTCTCGCTCCCTCCCGGATGCTCCCTGTGCCCCCTTGTCTCCTCTCCTGTGATCGCCCACCTCCCTCCCCACTGCCCTCCCCC